CTAGGGCTGTTTGCCTTAACTAAACATTAATGATTCATAGTTACCAAGTCAGGAGTATTCATCAGTCCAAGATAGTCCAAGTACCTTGCGCTATGTGCTCCAAGTCACCAAGCAGGTCTTTGTTTTCCAAGAGACAGCATTTCAGGTGCAATAAAACAGACAATGACAAGAGGAGGAAGGGAGAGCTAAGAGAGTCACTCCCATAGGGATCAAACAATTATACCCCAAGCTAATCATGACTAGCCGTGGCCTTTGGCCAATCGGAGTAGCAGGGGTGTGTGGCCAATTTCTCATTGCCATAGCTGCACATCAGGTGTGTGTATAGATTGGCTAGGAGTTTGGAGACTCCGCCTGCAGTCAGTTGACCCCAAACTCCAGCTACTACATTGATTACGTGACTTGTCGCATGTGGGCCAGAAAGTGTAGCCATGAGGTCTGGCTTTTGGCATGAAAGTGTGAGGGCTCAGGATCCATATCTGTGATATGAAGTTGTAGGTTGCTGGGTATAGGAAGATAAAATTTCTGGGGCAAGTGGTTGAATGAATTTTGCGGGGTTGGGAAAAAATATATATCCGGGTACCCACTGTATTTGTCAGTGTCATGCCATTTCTGCCTGGGTCTTTCCAAGTCCTTCCTTGGTTAGTCAGATGAGGACTGACTCCTGATAGTGCTTTTAAAAAGTAACATTACGTTCTGTCCTTGCATCATCCTTAATAACAGGAAAACCTTCCATATAACCCACAGTTTGTGCCTCTAGCTTCTATCACAGGCCTCCCTGCCACAGTCACTCAGAGCATACTTATTGAATCAGTTCAGGGCAATTATTGCACTGAAGTCCTGGATCAAAGGAACAGTCTTGTTTCCTCACAGCAGTGTCTTAAACGCTCCTGACTCCCCCAGGTCAATTTAGCCAATATTTAAGCAGCTGATAAATGACTGCCTGGTAGCTTAAGATGAGCCCTGACTTCTTGTATTATTCTTTTATCGTCTCTCCTCCCATAATAGTTCTCTTCTAAAGGTCAGATTCAATTTCCACTTTCACAATTGTTGTAAATCAGAAGAGATCCCAAGAAAGTCCATGTACAGTGTGAAATAAATATGAGCTATGAATTGATGTTCTTGATTTATAATATCACTGCTCCTTTGCACGCACAAAAAACGTTTTGTCAGGCACATGAGAGAGGAATCGAAATAAGTTGCTGTCGTACAACAGGGGGCTTCAGTTGATTTCCTAGAAAAAGAGGGACAGCTGATAATTTGATATAGCTAGTTAACTCAATGATGTGTTATGAGCCTTCAATTAGAAATATTAAAATGCAGCTCCCCTTAAGAGCTTTTCTGGCTGCATTTGGACATCCTCTGAGTGAATTACTCCAAGAATTATATAAGAATTGGAATGAATGCTGAAATATATATATAAAAGGTAATCCAATTTCTGACCATCACCATCCTTTGAATAGTAAATTGCAATGGGTTAAAAAAAAATCCTGCTGCATTTTTTTTTGGAATATTACTTGGACACTTTCCAGTAGTTGTTTTACAGTCTGTTGCCTGCCTGTCAGATTAAAAGAATACAGGCATATTTTAAGAATTTTCTAGGATTCAAAGAATCTTAATTAGCTGTGAATTTATGTTCTGGATGTGTACCCAAAATACAAGAGTCATTGTAAGCAGAGATAGGATTTGAATGCTCCCAGCTTTCAGCCAGTCCAATGTGGCAAGAAACAAACAACAAGTGAAATTATGGTCCATGGTAAGCAGGTGCCTGCTTATCAGTATGCAAAGAAAAAGCTTCATTTGCATAATGTTCCCAGAGAACTGCTCAGGAGCAGTATTAACAAGGAGAAGTGCTCGTAGCACTTCCAGACAATTCTTGATCACCTGAACCTTCAAGAACAGCCCCCAGGGTTTCAGTTCTGAAGAGCAGCTCTGGGCAGAATTTCAGAGGCTGGCATTATATTGCATTGTATTCCTTTTAAAATCAATCATTTGAAGTTAATTATAAAGCTCTACGATTACTTTGAATTAACAGGGGAGTTCATTTGTTAAACGTGAGAAGAAAAATCTTTAAAAGTGTATCAAAATAAATGTTAGGACTTAAAAAAGAAACTACACATAGTAAATAAAATAACTGAAAAAAGCTTCAATGGCCCCGTTCATACGAGGGGTTTTGTTCCGGGAGCGAGACAGAACGGGGGCGGATCAAACGGGCGTGATCCCACGGCAACATCTGGGAATCGTTGCCTACCCGTCCCCGATCTGTCTCTTCCGAGCGAAAACCCGCACTAAAAAGAACCACCTACCTGGGTGGTTCTTGCGAAGTAGAGCGCCTCAAACCGGCCGTGGGATCTGCCGCGCGTCCTTGCGGCGGCACATCCCGGCCTCCGGCCGAACTGCACATGCTTGAGCATGCGCAGTTCGGCAGCCTCCCCCTTGCCTCCGACTCTTCCTCCCTGGCATGTGATCATGCCGGGGAGCAACGGCGCACGGTGCACAGGATCCGTGGGATGCCGCCCGCGCGTATCTTTTTTGATGCGGCTCTCTTTAGCCGCGCTTTGCCAGGTGTTTTCCCTGCCATGTGGCAGGGGCCAATGTATAAAGCTACCTGACCCTGAATCAGACTGTTTGGTCCATCAAAGTCAGTATTGTGTAAACAGACAGACAGTAGGTCTCCAGAGTTTCAACCAGAGGTATTTCACTTCAACTCTGACCTGCTTCTTTATTTTTTAGTTGAAGGTGCTGGGGATTGAACCTGGGACCTTCTGTATTCCAACCAGAAGCTGAACCACTGCCCTAGCTTCTTGTTTGCTATAAAGCAGTACAGGGCTTGCCAATGATACTGGAATTTGCCTTGTTGAAAATCATTTAAATGGGGGGAGGTCTTTGATCCAACCCAATTTTCTCAGTGCCAGTCTTTCATGTAAATTTTCTCTGCTTGCTCACATATGTGTATGTCAGTTAACAGTCTGAAATAACTCATTGTGGTAAAGTCAGCTGATTGTGATATAATTTACGCACGTATATAAGAAACTGCCTAACCATTGTCTCATGTTTACAAAGAGGTATACCTTAGGGCACTTCAGGTTGTGTTCTGTGATATGTTTTAAGAATATATGTTGAGGGAAGTAATGTGAGACTTTATCCTGACATAGTATGAAAATTAACTGAGCCCTGGAGACCATTTCCGCCCAGAAATATACATTTCTGGACAATTTGGAGATGCGTATGGGGATTATTAAACCTTTTTCTTGCCCACTGCTTCTCCACTCAACATTGTTCTTCCACTACACTGTTTCCCCCTCATAGGATTCCAATGTAAGGTTTTTAGTAGACTTGAATTCAATTCAATTCGATTTATTACGATCAAAGATCAGCAAATATCTTAAAATGATACATATAGTTAACAGTGAAATACACCCAGACAGTTGGTACAGGTTAAGACAGCATGGATTTTAAAATTTCCTAAAAAGTAATAGACTTCTGTCTGTTTAGGATAGACTTAGCAGTAGTTTCATTACAAATATCAGCTAAAAGAAGAGTAGAATAAAACTGATTTGACCTGCCTGGGTAGGCAACAATTATTGGCGTAATATATTTAGAACGAATCTCGTGATAAAATCAACAGGATAAAAAAAGTGCTCAATTGTCTCGACCTGTCCAGAATTACAAGGACAGAGTCGGCTTGCATATGGGGTATGAGCATATCTTCCTTGCAGGAGGGCAGATGGGAAAACATTTAATTGTGCTAAGGTAAAAGCTCTGTGGTGCTTTGGGAGTTCTAATGAATAAAGGTAACTGGATGGAGCAAATTTTAGGTTTTTATTTCTCACCACTAAAAGGTGTGAGGCTCATACTCTGTCCATTTGGAGAGAAATGTCCCATAATCTTTGTTTGACAACAGCTTTGGCTTCTTGAAATCCAAGGTGTAGAAGGGCAGTACTAGAGAAGCCTAGAAGTGCCCATTTTTTTTCTATTGCGGAAACCCAGTTTGAGCAAAAACTATCTGAAAGAATTAAGGGGGTCAGCCCTGATGAAAGGAGTTTTAGTTTAAGCCAAAAACATATGGCATAATACCAATGCCGGGTTTCAGCCTCAAGCCTAAGCAGAGCATTGGGAACACATTTTGGTACTCCAAATAAAGATCTCAAAAATGTTGACTGAATTGTTTCAAGTTTGGTGTGTTTCTTATACAGGGAGATCTGTGTGGCATACATTAATTTAGGTATTGTCTTACCCCCCAAAACCTTCAAAACATAAAGAATGTAAGCTCCTCCTTTGGTGTGAAAAAATCTCAGCGTTGCAAATGCTGATTCCTGGGCAGAATCCATGACCTGAGAAAGGTGAGCTGCCCATGAGCCTGAAGATTGAAATGCAACTCCCAAATACCTGGATACTTTAACTTGCTCAATCATATGACCATCTAATTGCCATCTGTGCATCATCGGCCTTTTAGTGGTAGTAGACCATAAGTCACATGCAGACTATATCCATCTTATCCAGCAGTTGGGTATAGGGGAAAAGCAATGAAACCCTGCAACATTATTTTAAAAGGCCAAGCAAGAAAACATCTAGGGAAGAACGGGGCAACTGCTTCCATCATCAGTCCACCCAGGTGAGGTTCTCAAGAACCTCATGGTTATCTTCATTGGTGGACTGATTATACTTCAACACAGGCATATTCTTTGTCCTAGTCCAAGCATCATACAGCAAGAGCAGGAAGGCATCAGAGAGTAGTTCTTAACTATCACTTCTAATATCTCCATATGGAGGCATGACCCATGGTTTGAGCACCACTAAAATCACAGCAACTGAAGATTCTGGTTTCTGTGTGTGTGTGTGTGTGGGGTTCTGCCAACCTATTATGAGTTTATTTAAGAACAGCAGTTGAGGAGCATCCTAACTTGTTTTAATTGTCTGTTATCTGACCAATGCAGTTAACTAATGCAGATTCAAAATTTGCTCTGTGTGATTTCAGTTGTTGCGTCTTTCTCTTCATATAGGAGGTACATGCCAGAGTCCTGCTCTTCCAGCCCTGGTACGTCCTCCAGCCCCACCTTTACAGCCATCGCTGGATATCAAACCTTTTCTTCCATTTCCTCTGGATACTGCAGCAGCTGTAAATCTCTTCCCCAACTTCAATGCAGTAAGTACTTTACTAAAGGGTTGTTTTCCATCTCCTTAGCTTCCATTTTAGCAAGGCGAACAATCAGTGCACACGCGTGCGCGCACACACACACACACTGGTACATCTGACATGGAACAACTGAGAGGGGATTATCAAGAAAATTAGCAGAAAGCAAAAGCCAAGTATGTGAAAATAATGGTTTTCTTATTGTTTACATCAGGGTTGTAACATGCCAGGCATGCATTTGGATGTAATTTAACTAACACCTCATCTAAAAATTGCCCATTTGTTAGTCTTATAAGCAATCTGAATGGGGGGGGGGAATAAATAGTTGATATCGTCAAAAATATTTGGATCGGCTAGATAGTTTTGTACCTACCTGTCTGGCTTCTACATGAACAATGACTGCTGGTTTTCCTGTTACATTCTCTGGTAATGTACTTGCTACCAAATGGGATAAATGTGTTTCTTGTACGCCATGACATACAGACATAGCTGCTGATGGGGTGGGAGGATAAAGACAGATTCTATCATTTCTTTCTGTGCTGAGGGACAGCACTATTGCTGGGACTGATAGTTTGAGGGAAGCATTTGTTTGCGCTGCTAATGCTAATGTGCATTTACTACAGTATCCCATGTAGATCTAAAGCAGGTGGGGTGGGGGTTAATTTTTAATAATAATGGAGCCTGCAGGTGAGACAGGTGATGCCCCTCTGTCATACTTTATTCATATTGCCCATCTTTCAGCATTTTTTCTCTTAGTCATGTTTAACTTCTGGAATAGGAGCTAGGCTAGGAAAAAATACTAGAATCCAGAGAAATAAGGACAGTTTGGGGGCAGGGTTTAGCATCTCATAGGCTTGCCAAGTCCCCTCGTCATGCTGGCAGGGGGATTTGGGGGGCATTGTGGGGTGGGGTGGGGATGTCATCCAATGCGCTGACATCGCCCAGAAGTGACGTTGGCATGTTGGCGACGTTGGGGGCAACGATCTGCTTTTTGAGCAAACTCTATGGTAAAAATGGCCTCAAATCATAGAGTTTTGCCGAAAAAGCAGAGCGTCACTCTCCCAACATCACCAACACACTGACGTCACTTCTGGATGATGTCAGTGTGTCATGCACGGCATCAGGGATGGGGGGAATTTCCCTCTGTTGGCCAGCTGAATCACAGTGGGCAGGAGCCTGCAAAATTTGGGGATCCCACACCCCCACCTGGGGAATGGGAACCCTAGCATCTAATAACCCTTGCCCATTTTTGTGAACGATAGTGCATTCCATAGAGGAAAATTGACACAGCCATGTCATAGAGCAAGAAATGGGCCTAGGTCCTGGTTCTGCCAGTTGCACATTCACCCAATACCTGCTTGCCTAGCACAGAGAGCACACGATTTTGATAAATGCGGTGCCTTCCCAATGACATTTTATTTATTGTTTTAATATTATTTATTCCTCCTGTGCCATAGTACCTGCTTTCTTGAGATGCCAAATGCTTCTGTGGGCCCTCTTCATGTGGCCAGCAAAAGTGGCTGTTTTTTAAAAAGGATCACTTTCTTTCTCTCTCCAATCTGTATGTTTCACCATCTCTTGGGTAAAAAGTTCAGTTTGGATAGACAAAATATATAGTCAGAAATGTTTTGCTTCTATTGAACCAAATGTATAACAAAAACCAATAACTATTTTTAATAACAAGTAAGTCAATGAAACCAAGTTAAAAAACAACAACTGAAAATGGAGAGAAATGATACCTTGGTTAAACGTGTGGTCTAAATGATTTTACTTACAAAATATGAATTCATTTAACCATAAATCCTCACTTTTTAATTTTTTAAAAAAATATTCTTATAGATGAATAATTAATTTGTCCATTGAGGCTGAATTATATGCTAAGTCATAGTATGCAAGCTTATTATTTAAAAAAAACTTCTGAACAATAATTTGAAGGGCAACCAAGGTTATATTTGTGTGTGTGTGTGTGTGTGTGTGTGTGTGTGTGAAGTAGTCTAATAATGTAAAGCAATGTATACATTATAAAAACTTAAAAAAATAATTTGCATATTTGTATTACATTTGCTTTTCATGCCAAGAGTACATTGAATGGGAAATCTTGCATTTGATCTTCCTTATGAATATTTTTGTTAGTTTTAATTTTGGGTTAATTAAATAGCACAGTTAACACTAGAGATGGGCATGGACCAGTTCTTGGTTTGTTTGCCCGGTCTGTGCATTCATGGTTTAGACAGACCATCCACGGGCTGCTTTTTTTTAGACACTCCATTTGGTCCATGGGGGCGGCCCATGGGCCAGACATGCTGCCACCCAGGGAGCCCTTTAAAGCCATGCTGCCACTGCAGTGTGCCATGAGTGAGCTCTGGAGCCCACTTCCGAATTGTGCCACCTCTGTGACACACCACAAATGCCTCCTGAGCTCACTTGCTCTGCCCTGCCCCGGTGGCATGACCTGGAAGTGGGCTCAGAAGGTGTTTAAATGCCTTCTGAGCCCACTTCTGGATCCTGCCTCATCACAGACCTCACAAACCGTGAACTGGTTTGGAAACCAGAGAAGTTCGTGGAAGTTCATGGTTCATGGTTTGTGAAACTCACAAAACACGAACCAACACGAACCTCCATTTTTCCGGTCTGTGCCCATCCCTAGTTAACACTATACTAAGGTAAAAATGCAGGTGTACTTTCCTTACTTGTGATGTTACAGAATCAACATTTTATATTTTTACTTCCATGCTGTTTTTCAGCTTCTTGCATAACAAGCTGTTGCGGTTGGGAGCAGCTTTCTATTTTCATTGTAACCTGCGAGTAGTATTTCTTTTTGAGTTTTGAATTTTAAAGCAAGATTTAAAGTCTAAACCTTCTGAAGCATCATTTTAAATTACCCCCTCAATATCTAGCTTCTGCTTTATTATCAAAGAGCTCAAGTGCTGCCTCATCGTGCATGCCAAAATGAGACGTCAGTGCTGAAATTAGCAGTAGAGCAGGGGGTATAAATGTGTTCCAAAAGGTGTATTTTGTGATGCAGTCATTTTAAAAATGCTAGCGGCATGCTGTGTATGGAACTGTTTGCATGATTGGGAGCTAGATCATAGCTGTCCTAATTTATGTTAAATGCTAATTTTCTATTGTTATAATGAAAAATCGCAACAATCTTGCAGTCAAAAATGTGCTTTGAAGTAAGTTAGGATCCTGGAAAGCTATGAGTGGGACTGCACATTGTAGGAGACCCATGATACCAGTCAAAGTGGCACTTCTTTCCCAAGTTATTCCTTTATCTCCTGCGATGTTCAGCACCTCAATGTCATGATGATAGCATATTTCAGTTCACCACCCTACACATTTCTGGGTGTTACAATGTACATGTATCAGGAGCCTACCAACTGCATTTAACTGGAATGTGCACCACCTAAAATACACAGAGTCGTCATGCTGTGTGAACAAGAAGCAGCATGCATTATGACTATGCGTGTATAACTGTGGTACGTGCAAATGGACCGTCGTGTTTTTTCCCAGGAGCCACATTCATGCATATTGAGCCTCTTCCCATACCATTTTGACTGTGCACATTTTGCACTCCTGCTTTATAGGCTCTTGGTTTGGGGTGTGCACTTCAAAACTTTTTGTATTAATTTTGGGTCCAGATTTCAGGTAGGACTCTGTTTTAGTTATCCCAGTGTTTCAGAAGTATTGTTACAGGTTCAGGATTTTGGGGTGCCCTGAAAATTCAGGGCCATTATTTTTGGAGTGGGGAGGGAAGGGAGAAGCCAGCCCCAGACTTAAATAGTATGGCATCATCCTGCGGGAGCACTCTCCCTCTTGCCAAAATCAGAGGTGGCAGAGCCTCCTCCAGAGCTGGAAAATGGCGGGAGCTTTGGTTGCCACAGCAGCCATCCTCACCACCACCACCACCACCAGAAGCATTTTTTTTAATTGACAATTGTATCGTGTTATATCGATATAACAGCATCCAATATGTGTATCAGGTGTCCTGAATTTCCAGCTTTCTTTTCTTCAAAAAAGTAAGTTTTCCATTCTTTTTGTTGTGGAAATACGACTTTTATATCTCCACTAGGAGAGGAGTTAGAGCCTTACTTAAAAAAAAATGAAAACGGGTATTCTGGGAACCTGAAAGAGTTGGTGGCAGGGGAAGAGAGATTTTTTTTAAAGAAATATATGCGTGTGTGTGTGCGTGTGTGCATCTGGAAGTCATGGCAACCTCTCCTGACTGACCCCTACTGGGAGCCTGGAGGATATTCAGAGAAGTGGCTGAATAAAGCCTGCCCCCACCTCCTGACTGCTGGTATTCCAAGGAGGTCTCCCATCCAAGTACATGCCAGAGTCAACCCTGCTTAGCTTCCGAGATCTGATGAGACTGGGATTGCCTGGACTATCCAGGTCAGGGCGCAGGGGGAGAGAGATGGTGAACATGATAGCCATGGCTGGTGGGAGTCCAGTAGCCCACTAACCTGCCCACCATTTTCCAGCTCTGGGGACAGGCTTCTCTGTCTCCACTGCCAGCAGTGGGGAGAAGCCTCTAGCAGGCATGTAGCTGGCATCGAAAGTCCAGGGCCAGTTTGACCCTTTCCCCTTTAAAATTTAAGGGCCCATGGGTATACAGACCGTCAGGTGTAAGTAGGCATCTCTTTTAAAGAAAAGAGAGACACTGACTTCCTGGGATTGCTTCCTCTCTTTCCATGCCTGCATTTTCCTGAAATTTTATGAGATAAATTTTAATTACTCCTACAATTTCTGGAGTGTTTCAAGATTGTTTCAGGTATCCCATAGCTGGACTGAAACAGCTAATTTCAGGTATAATGTTAGTATATCATGTATACCTGAATGCACACCCCTACTCCTGATATGCTGATTGTAATGTCTAAAAAAGATACCTCACTCCTTATCAGCAGCTGCTACTGGCAGGGGTGTGGACATGCACAGTCATGGTTTCATGACATATCATTCCTGTATATTACAAACAGAAGGGGAGAACTCAGAAGGAGTATGTCACTTCA